GAGGGTTGAACCCAGGGCCTCACCTCAATGTTAGTCAAGATCTCTACCACTGAGCCACACTTTCACTCTATCATACATTTATATGTGTGCGTGCGTGCACATATACACACATATATATACAATGTATTATGTATTGATCATATATATATATAATATATATATATTATATATACATATACTTCACCATCCAGAATTTTCCATCCATGCCTGGCCCTGCTTAGCTTCTGAGATCAGATCTCAAGGGTTCAGGGTGGTGTGGCTGTGGACCCTTTAGTATTGTTTTTGTTTTTTATTGTTTTGAAATACATATAAAACTTAGCATTTTAGCTGTTTCTAAGTGTATAATACTGTGGCATTAAGTAGATTCATATTGTGTTGCAACCATATCTACCTTCTATCTGCCTAACCTTCGCCTTCCCAGAGAATGTGAGCCCATCAAGCACTCCACTTCCCTAGTTGCGGTTTTGATTTTTTGTCTGTGATCCTGATTAGTGTTAAACACTGACCCCCCACTTACTTCCCATGTTGTGGTTGTGCTTTCTTGCCTATGGTCTTGACCACTGTAACTCAACTAAGTGGAATCCTTTCGAGACTGTCTTAGTTCATTTATCACAATGTGTCCAGGGTTCATCTGTCTCATAGTGTGTCAGAACTCTGTTTTTCACATTTATTTATTTATTTTTGCAGTGATAGAAATTGAATATCATATAGGCTAGATAAGGGCTCTGAACTCCATCATGCCCCCACTTAAAGATTTGTTTTCTTATCAATTGTGTGTGTGTGTGTGTGTGTGTGTGTGTGTGTGTGTGTGTGTATGTATGTATGTGTATGTATGGTTTATGTATGTGTAGTACAGGTGTCCCCTGAGTTCAGAAGAGGGTATCAGATCCTCTGGAGCTAGAGCTGCAGGTGGTTGTGACCAACCTGAGATAGGTCCTCTACAAGAAGAGTAGGAGCAGTGTGAGCTCTTAACCACTGGTCATCTTTCTAGCCTATAGAGCTATCCCCCGACCCCTGCCCCTCTGTGAGACAGGGTTTCTCTGTGTAGTCCCGGCTGTTCTGGAACTCGCTCTATAGACCAGGCTGGCCTCGAACTCAGATCCGCCTGCCTCTGCCTCCCGAGTGCTGGGATTAAAGTTGTGCACCACCACATCCAGCTGCAGAGCTCTCCTTTTAGGGTTGAATAATAGTCTGTTGTATATAGAGACCCCCATCTTGCTTTGGATAGTTATTTCTAAATTTTATGAACTGGTCTAGAGAGGATAGTGTACAATCTAAAAATTGCAATTGCTTGCTTCTTTTCCACTGGCTCTTATTGTAGAAGCATTATTTTAGTCCTAGCAGAGATGGTTGTAAAGGGACCTCACTTTCCTTCCTAGGGACAGTCTCAGTGGGGGGACTAGCCACCTAATGGAATAATTCCAGGTGGTATTCCAGAGACATTTGGTCTGGGAGTCTGCAGTCATACACACAGAGGGACCTTATAATAGCAGACTGTGTTTTCCTGTCCATTCTAATCCTTTGTTCACTGTCCCATGCAGTATCGTGAAGAACGCTTCCGTCTGACCAGTGAGAGCACTAACCAGAGGGTCCTGTGGTGGTCCATCGCCCAGACTGTCATCCTCATCCTCACTGGAATCTGGCAGATGCGTCACCTCAAGAGCTTTTTTGAGGCCAAGAAGCTGGTGTAGGGCTCTTGCTGTATAACCTTTCCCTTTTACCTCAATTATTTGATAATCTCCCCACCTAGTCCCTGTCCACCTGGCTTTTGAGGAGGAAAAATGAAAAAATAATGTGTCACATTGGTATCGTGGCAGTAAGCCATTGAGATCAGCTACCTTTTGACCCTCCAAGAAACAGGCATTGGCCCGAGCTTTCCAAATCTGCCTTAGGGTTTGGGAGACATTGGAATTAACCCAAGATCAAGTCATTTCTTTTGCCTCTGGTGTTCCTCTGTTTTTGAAGAGATGTCCAAATGCACTTCTGTTTGTCTGCTTGCGTAGTAGGCAACTGGCATGCCCTGTGGAGGAGACCCTGCCTCATGTTCCTGGGTCAGTCCTGAGTTCTCTCAAGTCTTTGTGAATGTAAATAAGGGGCAGTTCTTGGCCCTGAAGGATTGAGATGTTTTTCTATATTTTAGAACTATTTTTGGATAAATTATATATTTTCCTTCCTGGTTGAATCATCACTGCCTGTAACAAGCCAAAAACACTAATCCAGACCTTATGCGTTGTACTTACTCACACATTTTGAATAACTTCCCTGCAGTGCTCAGACTTTCAGCAGTCTGGGGCCAGAAAGCGGGTACGGTAGTTACTCTTAAGTCCATCTTAGAAGGCCAAGAAGAGCTCTCTTGATTGCATGTGAGTCCAATCCCACAGGGTCACAGAGTCGGGAAAGAGTGACAGTGACTCAGAGCAGGCACTCTCCCTCAGCTTTCACGTAAGCAATGGATAGTGTTTCGTGGGTTCTTTTTTTGTTTTGGAGACAGTCTCGCTCTGTTGCTCTGGCTGGCCTGGAGCTCCCTATGTGGTCTAGACTAGCCTCAGATCCACCCGTGTCTGCCTACCAACTGCTGTGATTAAAAAGACATGTGCCACCACACCTGACAGAAATATTTTCTTCAAGGGAACCAGATTTTGGTTCTGGATACAGATTCTTTTTTTTCCAATGAAATAAAACATAGTAGCTATGTTTGATATAAAATAATAGGTTGTGGGCAGAGGTGAGGCAAAAAAAAAAAAAAAAAAAAAAAAAAGTAAGATTACTGACCTAGACTGCTTGCCTTTATAGAAAAAATGGGGTAGACTTCAGTGGGCACTCATGCTGCAGCTTGGCCTGGGAGTGGATGGGTTGATGGCTTACCCATTCTGAAAGGTTACCCTAGTAGGTAAGAGGTCATTGTGCAACTGACAAAGCAAGGACATTGGCTTCTTAGCCCCTGAATCATAAACAGCACTTTCCTTACCCACTTCTGTAGAAACCTCATGCCAGTAGCTGCCCATTCTTGATAGTTTACTTCACAGTTTTATTATATATTTATTTGGAATATTTATTAAATTTCTTTTTCTGACTTATAGACCCAAACTCTCCCCTTATTTCTGTGTACTCTACTGTATATGAACCTGTTTTACACTTAAAATATATGCAATTTTTTTGTTTGCAAAGAGGAAGGAAAAAAAAAAGGAAAAGTCCTACATATCCCTCCTATTTCCTATTTCTTTTTTATTTTTATTTATTTATTTTTTAAAGATTTATTTATTTATTATGTATACAGCATGTATGACTACAGGCCAGAAGAGGGCACCAGATGTCATTACAGATGGTTGTGAGCCACCATGTGGTTGCTGGGAATTGAACTCAGGACCTCTGGAAGAACAGCCAGTGCTCTTAACCTCTGAGCCATCTCTCCAGCCCCCTCCTATTTCCTATTTCTAATTCTGGATGGCCACTTAACCACCAGGAAAATCCCTCTGGTACTCAAAAAATAGTTTTGCAGTTTTCTTCAGTTTAGGATCCGTATGAGAAGCCGGGTGATGGTGGTACATGCCTTTGATCCCAGCACTTGGGAGGCAGAGGCAGGTGGATCTCTGAATTCAGGCCTGCTCTACAGAGCTAGTTCCAAGACAGCCAAGGCTACACAGAGAAATCCTATCTCGAAAAACAAAAAACAAATATAAAAATTAGTATGAGAAGTTAGATATTAAGAGAGTTGTTTAGTTTTAGAGACAGAGTATATGTAGCCTTGGTATACACCACGGTGGCCTTGAATTCACAGAAATCCACCTGCCTCTGCCACTGGAGTGCTGGGAGTAAAGGCCTGTGCCACCATGCACAGAAAGAGAATGCCTTCATATTTTTTGGGAAAGCCTTGAGGTAGCACTTGTGTTGGTCTTTAAGTCAAGTTCCTCTTAGCCCTGCCTTCCAACTGTTGGGATTGTAAGTGTGTGTCAACATGCCCAGAAATAAGATGTCCTTTAAGTAACTTAGATGTTTGGACTTGTAGTGTGAGGCTCTTGAGAAGAGATACGTTTCTGCTGTGTTGATGTCTCAAGAATTATAGCCAGCAGAGCAGACACTGGACCTGAGAGAGTAAGAGGCTAGAAAAGGCCAGGCGTTGGTGTGTGTGCTTGTCCAACAGTGAACACACTGGAGCACACACACCCGTGCACAAGCAGGGTTTCTCCTGCTGATTCGTTTCAACTCCACCTTGGAGACTTAACAGATTTCTGGCAGCACTCAAGTACTGCCAGATGCAGGCTTGTATATGAGGAGTATGGTGAGCAGGAGAATGACTACCCCCAATGCATCTCTATTCTAACCCCTGAAATGTATGAATGCCATCCTCAACCCTTTTACAGGTGTTGCCTAAGACCATCAGAAAAAAGATATGTACATTACAATTTGTAAGAGTAGCAGAATTAGAGTTATGACATAGCAACGAAAATAATTTCATGGTTGGGGTCATCACTACATGAGGAACTGTATTCAAGGGTCCAGCATTAGGAAGGTTGAGAACCACTGGTGTAGGTCATCAGGATGAGCCCACTGTAATCACGGGTGCCAGAGACTAGCTTTGCAGTTAGGCTTCTAGACCCATCTTAAGTGTCCCTTCGGCTTGGCCTTCCACTTTTCCTCTTTGCTGCTGGTTGAGAACTGAACCTAAGGCACCATGCATGCTGGGGAGGAGTTCTACACTGAGCCGGTTTCCTGCTTTTAAAGACCCTCTGTTGGTCTTCCCTTCAGCTCAGCCCACTCCTGTTACCAGGAGTGCTTTTTCTTTCTTAATAGACCGTCACTATAATAAGACACCAGCAATCTCTTCTATTATTGCCCTAACGATAATTACCAGATGGTTTAAAACAATAAACTGTTAGGTTTGAGTCCAGGCTAGGTGACCTTCGGGCAAGCAGTTTATTAAAGAGCCTGACAGTGGCAAGGTGAAGGAAGGGAGGGAGCAGAGTTGTTCTAAGTTCTCTCGTGATGAAGGTGGTTCAGGGGAGGTGCTCCGACCTGGGCTGACATCGCCTAACTGCACTCGGAGACACAGTTTGTTGTATTTTTGGCTTTAGAAAGTGTTTAAGAGGTTCCAATGATGTCGGGCGTGGTGGTGCAGTTTTAATCCCACCCAGCCTGGTCTACCTGCCAAATTCCAGCTAAACAATGAGAGCCTGCTTCAGAACAACAGAATAAAAAGGTCCCAAGAACATCCCAGGGAAAGGGATTCTGGAAGAATGGGCCTAGCTGGCATGTGGTAACACTGTCTGACTGCAGCCCTTCTGGTTTTGGTTTTCTGGGAAAGTGAGGTCCCAGGAAGGGGTCCGGTCAACTTAGCACTTCTGCGAGCTGTGAAAGACAGCAGGACGTATGGCAGGATCCGCCAGAGTCTTCATAGCAGCTGGGTTTGGTTTTTTGACACAGTTTTTTCTGTGTAGCTCTGCCTGTCCTGGAACTCACTCTGTAGACCAAGGCTAGCTTCGAACTCAGCGATCCGCCTGCCTCTGCCCCCCAGCTGCTGGATTAAACGGCGTGCGCTACCACTGCTGGGCTTAACATTTGTCTTAATAGTTAACACTCCGTGTCGTGATTGCAGCCCGGTCAGAGTCTCCGCACACTGGTTACCCACAGACCTATAACTCCTCTGCACATACGCCGAAGTGGCGGCCTTGCCCCTCCTCCTCAGCCGAAAAGCGGTCGGATCCTAACCATAATTTAGCAGGCCAGGTCCTGCCCCGCCACTCTGTGCGTCAGGGAAGGTTGGGGCGCCGGGGGCCACACACCCAAGACTCAGAGGCGCTCAGAGACCGCCTCTGCGCCTGCGCACGGCACAGCAGCACAGATTTGCTACAACACGGATTCCCACGCGGAAGAACTTCCCGGAAGTGACGGCTCCTCCGGAACTGATTAGTTGCTAGTTTGTCCCGCCCTTACGCGTGCGCACTGTCAGCACGGAAGCACGCCATGGAGGACCAAGAAGCGCTGGGGTTTGAACACATGGGGCTGGATCCCCGGCTCCTGCAGGTATGGGGACGGTTGTGGAGCTGGGACCCGGCGTGGCGCCGCACTCGGCGCCGCCTGAGCCGCGTCCTCTCCCTTCTTAGGCTGTCGCCGACTTGGGCTGGTCGCGACCGACGCTGATCCAGGAGAAGGCCATACCTCTGGCACTGGAGGGGAAGGACCTCCTGGCCCGCGCCCGCACAGGCTCCGGGAAGACTGCAGCTTATGCTCTTCCGATGCTGCAGTTGCTTCTGCACAAGAAGGCGGTAGGTAGCGAGAGGGGCGGTGGGCACGAGGAAGGAAGCCCCAGAAGCCTGGGGAGGGAAGGGTCCCTCTGTGCAAAGGTTTCTCTTGCTCCCTTGCTCGTGTTTGGCGGGCTAGAGAGAACCAGGTCCATTTGCAGCATAAGCTCAGAGCTCGAGTTCAGGTTACCTGGCTCTCTACCCAGGCCTTGCTGCCACCACCACCGGCCGTGTTGTAATCTTGAGTAAACCGTTTTTTATCTAGAGAATACACATCAGCTCCATGCCTAGTCTGTGTTAATTTCCGACATGCACCAAGTTATTTTCAAATTTCAGTGCTCGTGAAAGCTCTCCCTTCAGTGTTTTGAGGTGGGCAGGATTAAGAGTTTATCAGAACATAGCTAAGTCATTGTATTGTACGGTCCCCACAGTTCGGAAGAGGTGGAGAAAAGCATCAGGTGGACCCAGTACTTTTTGGGGGCGGAGGTGGGGAGGTTTCGAGACAGGGTTTCTCTGTGTAGTTTTGGTGCCTGTCCTGGATCTCGCTCTGTAGACCAGGCTGGCCTTGAACTCACAGAGATCCACCTGTCTCTGCCTCCCGAGTGCTGGGATTAAAGGTGTGCATCACCGCCGCCCAGTACTTTTAACAGTCTTTAATTCATGCTTTTACAGACAGGTCCTGTAATGGAACAGGCTGTGAGAGGCCTTGTCCTTGTTCCTACTAAGGAGCTGGCCCGGCAGGCCCAGTCCATGATCCAGCAGCTGGCTGCCTATTGTGCCCGGGATGTGCGAGTGGCTAATGTCTCAGCTGCTGAAGACACAGCTGCTCAGAGGTAGGTGAAAGCTGCCGGGTTCTAAAGGAACGGAGCTATGCAAAGATGTGGCTTTGGTTTTTGTGAACAGCGAGAGAAGGCAGGTCTGCCAGAGTGAGGTTCTGGAGGCTAAATCCGTGCTCCCTGTAACTTGCCGCCTGCAGAGCTGTGTTGATGGAGAAGCCAGATGTGGTGGTGGGGACACCGTCCCGAGTATTAAACCACTTACAGCGGGACGGCTTGGAGCTCCGTGACTCCCTGGAGCTGCTGGTGGTAGACGAGGCTGACCTTCTTTTTTCCTTTGGCTTTGAAGACGAGCTCAAGAGTCTTCTCTGGTAAGGAAGAGACGGAAGTGGCGCCTAGTGGGGCCCTCCGTGAGTCCAGACTTGGAGTGGGGTGGGTGGGACTCGAGCCTGACCACGTCCTGTTTGTCCTGGTTTTTCCTCCAGTCACTTGCCCCGGATTTACCAGGCCTTCCTCATGTCGGCCACTTTCAACGAGGACGTACAAGCTCTGAAGGAGCTGGTGCTACATAACCCGGTAAGGGGTGCTGAGGGAGCCTTTGGAGCTGGAGCCGGGGACACCCCAGTCCAAACTATGCTTTGCCTAGAAGGCTTACCTGGGGTCACTGTGTCCTCAAGGGGAGCCAAAATTCTAAGATCAGAGTTCTCTTGTATATATTGCAGTCTTCAGAACCATCTTGTAGGCCTTCCGTGCTGCATGCTGTCTCTGTTTCTCTTTGTTGTGTGCACTGATGCTGTATGTATAGTATATATATGTATAGTGTACATATGTATAGTATACATGTATAGTATATATGTATAGTTTCTGTGTACCACAATAGTTAGGGTGCTTTGAGTTCTTAGGTACGACCCTAGGGGTAGGGTGTGTGTGGGGGAGATGGGGTGATGGCTCACTGTCTGCTCTGCACTAATGTGGGTGCTTTGGTTGGCGAGGCAGTGGCCATAGCGTGGTGCCTCTTCCCGTTCTTTCCTGATCACAGGTGTATCTTTTAGGTTACCCTCAAGTTGCAGGAGTCGCAGCTGCCGGGGCCAGACCAGCTGCAGCAGTTTCAGGTGGTCTGTGAGACTGAAGAAGACAAATTCTTGCTGCTCTATACCCTGCTCAAGCTGTCACTGATTCGGGGCAAAGCCTTGCTCTTTGTCAACACTCTAGAGAGGGGTTACCGGCTCCGTCTTTTCCTGGAACAGTTCAGCATCCCCTCCTGCGTGCTCAATGGAGAACTCCCGCTGCGCTCCAGGTTTGTTCCGGTCTGTGTCTTGGTGAAGAGAAGCTGAGAAGAAACATGGAAGGAAAACCCAGTTCATTCTTTTCTTTTTGTAAGAGTTAAGGCTGGCCTTGAATTTCAATCCTCCTGCCTCAGTTTTCCAAGTGCTGGAATTAAAGCGATGGGCCAGCTCACACAGCTTCTCCCCTCTCCTCCCTTTGCAGTGCTAGGGAGTGAACCCAGAGCCTGTTCATACTGGACAAGCGCTCAGCCGCTGAGTGCTACACCCAGCCCCGTGTTCTTGTTTCTTTCTCTCTCTTTTTTTTCTTGAGATAGGGTTTCTCTATGTAACCTTGGTTGTCCTGGAACTTGCTCTGTAGATCAGGCTGGCCCCAAACTCATAGAGATCCACCTGCCTCTGCCTCCCAAGTGCTAGGATTAAAGGCATGTGCCACCACTGCCCGGCTTTGTTCCTGTTTTTTAAGCACTTGCTGGGGCTCAGACTCTCAACATACCTGATGAGTATTTCTCACAACCCTGAAATACTTACTGGTGCTCCATTTAGGGGAAGAAATTATTTATTTTTATTTTTTATATGCATGGGTGTTTTGCTTGCGTGTACTTACGTATTTATGCCTGACGCCTGTGGATGCCAGAAGAGGGTGCTGGAGCTCTTAAAATTGGAGTTACAGACAACTCATTAGCCACCATATTGGTACTGGGAATAGAGCGTGGATCCTCTGGGAGAGCAGCCAGTGAATTTAACCACTGAGCCCGTTACTCCGTTTCCAACTGAGGAAGTTGAGGCCCAGGCCTGAAGATGATAAAGGAGATTCAAGAGGACAAAGTGGGAGAGGGTGGTGGTTAGGATGACGCTAGGGCCGGGAGGGGCCCCTTGTGCCGCAGGCTGACCGTTCCTCTCCGACTGCAGGTGCCACATCATCTCACAGTTCAACCAAGGCTTCTATGATTGTGTCATAGCAACAGATGCTGAAATCCTGGGACCCCCAGTCAAAGGCAAGCGGCGAGGCCGAGGGTCCAAAGGAGACAAGTAAGTCCACAGTTCTCTTTTATCAGCATCCCCCCAAGAGGCCCGTCTCTGCATTTGTCAGGCTAAAGCCAAAGTGCATAGAGCCGACACTCTGGACGGTTATACCAGGGAGTCCTGTGGGCCTTGCTTAGCTCCCTGGACAGACATGGAGAAGTAGAGAAGGTGGTCGGGGCTCTGCTTGCACGTTCAGCACAGGGTCAGGCTGGGCAAGGGGTGACGTGAGCTGACTTACAGGGGAGATGGTCCAGTCGGCCCCGGGCATGTGACTGTGATATGCAGAGAACATGTTTCTGGGGGCAAGGGGACACTCTCTAGGTGTTGCCTGCTTGAAGAGTTCAGGGTCGCAGGGGTGGTTTGTGGGTCATTGTGTTCTGCTACTGCCCAGAACTGAGGTCAGGGCAAGGGTTTGGCCCTGAGGTAATTGAGCTTTGCTTACAAAGTAGTTTAGAGACTGAACTTGAGAATGCCTTTCCAGAGGGTAAGGATCTGGCTGACATTGGGCTGTTTCCCCAGGGCCTCAGATCCAGAGTCAGGTGTGGCCCGGGGCATAGACTTCCACCACGTGTCTGCCGTACTCAACTTCGATCTTCCTCCCACTCCAGAAGCCTATGTTCATCGAGCTGGCAGGTAGGAGGATGGCACTGTGGTGAGCCAGGGCATGCTGAAGGAGTTGGGGTGATGTGGACAGGCCAGTGATGCATGTTTGATCCCCTCCCATTGTAGGACAGCTCGAGCCAACAACCCAGGCATAGTTCTGACCTTTGTGCTGCCCACGGAACAGTCTTCCTTGGGAAAGATTGAGTCGCTTCTCAGTGGAGGTAAGAGCCCTTGCTCCATGCTCTTGGGTCTCGAGAAGCCAGGCTTCTCCCATCACACCTTGAAACCTACCACAGTACCTAGTATGTTGATGCACCCCTGTCATTGAAGAGCATGGGGGAGTGAGACATGATGATTGACACTTTGAGGCTAGCCTGGGATATATATCAAGACTCTTTTGTTGTTGCTACTTTTAAATCAAGGAATGGATCAGTGGTTAAGGGTACTTGCTGCTCCTTCAGAGGACTTAGGTTCAGTCCCTAGCATCCACTTGGTAGTTCATAGCTGTCTGTAGCTCCAGCACCCTCTTTTGGCCTCTGCAGGCATCAGGCATGTACATGGTGGGTTGTGAGTCTGAGGCTGTGATGGCACACGGGGCTCAAGGACACACCCTTGACCAAAGCATCTTGGGAACTGCTCTTAGACCCAAGTGTAGTGAGGCTGAGTCGTCTCAGGGGATAGCCTTCTTCAGGAAAGAGGAGCAGCAGGCTGCCAGGGAAGGCCTTCCACGGCCCTGCCCTCAGCCTCACTGCTGCCTTCTCCCCAGAGGGCGAGGCTCCCATCCTGCTTCCTTACCAGTTCCACATGGAGGAGATCGAAAGCTTTCGCTATCGCTGCAGGGTAAGCTCAACACTAGGGTGGGCAAGGGGGTGGTTGTGGAATGGGCTGTGACCCAGGGATTGTACCCTGTTGCTGAACACTCGGGTGTAAGGCTGTCTGACCCTGGTCTGCCCACAGGATGCCATGCGCTCAGTGACCAAACAGGCCATTCGAGAGGCGAGATTGAAGGAGATCAAGGAGGAGCTTCTGCACTCAGAGAAGCTCAAGGTGAGGGCAAGCTTGGGAGCTGTCCTTTTTGAGGGCTGGCCAAGCTCTGGGGAGTGAGAAGCAGAGAGCTGGGCAGTGTGCTGGCCTTTGGCAGGGAAACAAGAAGCCAGCTGAAAGACAGCTGGTCTGCTGGGAGGGGGGGGGGGGCGGCACACTTCATGACGGGCACTTGGCATTAGACACAAGTGAGATACGTGGGGTTGGGGTGTGCATTCATGCACATTCATCGCAACACTACCAGGGAGCCAAAGATGGAAGCCCCGTCGTGGGTCCACACCAGGGGCCTTAGAGTGTACCGGCCATACCTGGATGTTACACAGACACTGGAAGGAGTGAAGAGGCTCTTGGTGTGATGAGGAATCTCATCTGTGATTCAGAGTGTTGTTGTTTGTGTCATAGCGAAGGATGTCCTTGTGCAGGGCATGTCCTTGTACCCGTGGCTGGGACTCAGAAGAACTAGAATCTAGCTGCCCGGTGTTGCAAACATTCCAGAGTTGACAGATTTCCAGGAGGTGGTGATAATTTGGCATTGCTGCAGCATGCAGTGCCTTACTTGGCCAGCAGAGGTCAGCTGTGCAAACCATGAGAAGTCCGTCCTGGTTCGTGCTAGGCCCTGGCTGTCCAGGAGGGTGAAGAGCAGAGTGGTAGACAAACTTCGTGATGTCACTTTTTGTGCCTCTTAAACTTTGAGCTCTCTCTGCCTGTCAGACATACTTTGAAGACAATCCCAGGGACCTCCAGCTGCTACGCCATGATCTGCCCTTGCACCCTGCGGTGGTAAAACCTCATCTGGGCAATGTCCCTGACTACTTGGGTGAGTGTTGCTGAGGATGAGGAGACTGGAGGAAATGGCCTGCCTTTTTTTGGCCATCTTCTGCCAGCCCCTGTGCTTGGTGTTGGGAAAGCTTCTTGCACGTGAGAGGATCTAGAGACCCATCAGCACAGCATGTGTGAACATGAACTGTGCTGACATGTACTATCTCATGTAGACTCTCCTCCCTTCCCCAACCCTCCCCTCCCTTCCCTCTTTCTTCTCTCTGGATTGTTGATACTCCCTGTGTAATCCTGGCTGTCCTGGAACTCACTCTGTAGACCAAGTTGGCCTTGAACTTAGGGATCCGCCTGTCAGTGCCTCCTGAGTGCCAGGATTAAAGGTGTGCGCCACCACTGCCTGGCTGGAACTGTTTCTTGGGTCAGGACTGGAGATTGTGCTGCAGGTGTAGGGTAGCACTGAGAAGGGAATGGGACAGTGCTGGAGGCCAGGTCTCTTGGGGTAGAGGGACTGTAACTGGAGTTTAGAAGCAGGGGTGAGGCTGCGCTAAGGCCCAGCATCTCTTCCAGTTCCTGCTGCTCTTCGTGGCCTTGTGCATCCTCGAAAGAAACGGAGAAAGCTGCCCCCCTGTAGGAAGGCTAAGGTATGTCTCCTGGGAGTCTTGGGACAGTAGCGGGGTTCCTTCCCTCCTTGCCCTTCATCTTCAGCAGCTGCCTTGCCTGAGGGAGGGATAGGACTCCCAGGGATAGGGTGTGGGCTTGTGGTTTCGCACAGCTGCCCGAAGGCTCTGTTTCTGACCGTAGCTGGCCTCCCTCACATTGTCTGCAGCAGCTACTAGTCTCTGGCCTGTGGCACGGGGGTCTTGCCAGATGCCGGCACTGTCCACTCTGTTGGGACCATCTGACTGTTTCTCACAACTAACTTGTGACTCTGCCCCTGTAGAAGGTGAAGACCCAGAACCCACTGCGCGACTTCAGGCACAGGGGAAAGAAACCCAAACTCACAGCAAAGCCCTCCTGAGATGGCCTGGGCCTGAGGACACTGAATTGGCATCCTGACCTGGATGGAGTGAGTGGGCTTCCCACTCTGTGGGCACACTCTGATGCTCACTGTCTGGACAGACTGTACTTTGAAGCAGCAGCCTTGGGCACCCCATCTCCTTGGTACTGCTGGGCTGCCATCCTGCTGCTTAACAGAATAAAGATTCTGGCTGCCCAGGCTGTGAGCCTCTGGCCTTTCGAAGAGACTGCTTTCCCAAGTTTCCAGAGTTGACAAACTTTCCAAAGGTGGTATTGTCTGGCTTTGCTGCTGCATGTAGTACCACGATTAGCCAGCAGAGGTCAGCTGTGGAAGCCATGAGAAGCCTGTCCTGATGCTGCTGGTCCAGTGTTGGGCCATGGCTGACCCAGAGCCCTGTATCTAGTTCCTGTAGCTCTGTTGATCCAGATCAGCTGATAGATGGGCTTGTGTTCCCAGGTCAGGGCATTCCTGACCACAAGCCCCTGGATCTCACCAGCACATTCGTGTTCACATTCAGAGGGAAAAGTCACTGAGCCCTGGGATCCAAAGCAGCCGGCTTCCCTTCCTGGATGAAAGATGTGTGATAATTCTTGTCTGTTTCAGTTATATGAGTGGTAGTATAATGAATGCACACACATGACACCTGTTTTAGGGTTTCTATTACTGTGAAGAGACACCATGACCACAGCAACTCTTATAAAGGAAGACATTTATTTGGGGTGGTTTTCATTTGCCGAAGTTTAGTCCATTATCATCATGGTGGGACATGGCTGCGAGCAGGCAGACATAGTGCTGGAGGAGCTGAGAATTATTCACAGACAACCAGAAGTGAACTATGACATTGGGTGTAGCTTGAGCATAGGAGACCTCAAAGCCCACCCCCACAGGGGCACACTTCCTCCCACAAGGCCACACCTCCTAATAGTGCCACTCCCATGGGGGTCACTTTCTTTCATACCACCACAACCGCCCTTCCCCCGTGTCCTAACAGCACTGGCTACAGGAGCACTCAGAGGAAGTGCTTCTCAGCTCGCCCAGCATCCTGTGTGCCCCCTGTACTACAGTGTCACTCTATGATTGTCTGCTTGTCGCTTGCCTGTTGGGCATCATTAGGCTAGGCTGTGGTGGGAGGAGACAATGGAGAAGAGAAAAGTGTCAAATCTAAAGTGAGGCTTTGGCTATCGTTAGGGTGTGTGGTGTAAGTGACAGGATCTGAGTTTGTGGTTTCTACAAAGCGACAGGAATTGTCAGTGGGTAGATGTATTCCAGAGCCTCGATGCCCACAGTGTTTGTACAGTCATGTCCAGTTGAACTGAGAAAAAGTCCTTAGAGCTGGAGACAAAGAACAACTCTGGGGGCTGGAAAGGTGATTTCCTGGATAGCATGCTTGCTGTGCAAGTAGCGAGGGCCTGAGTGTGTGCCCTTAGCATCCATGTAAAAGCTGGGTATGGCGGTCTGCATCTGCAGCTCTGTTGTGGGCCTTGTAGGCGGGGAGAGCGAATGATCCTTGGAGCTTCTGGCTAGACAGTAGCTGAAACAGCAAGCTCTGGGTTCAGTGAAAGGCCTGATCTCAATAAGCTGGAAAGCAATAGAGGAAGACTCTGGCCTCAACTTGTGGCCTCTGCATGCAAAATAGCATGTACCATCATGCACAAAAAGAGCAACTCCTGGCCTTTCCCATCCTGCTTTGTTGACAGCCCTGGACAGCTGAGTGCACTAAGTTGAATGTTGCGTCCATGTCTGCTCTTAACAGGATACATTTTCCTGTGGCTTCTATGATCCTCTCACTTTAGTTACCATGGTGAGGACATATGCACCAGAACCAAATAATAGATTTCCCTAGGAGATTTTTCTGGGGAGATGAAGCTGGTACTCTGCTGTGTGACATCATCAAGGAGTGGGACCAGAGCTGTGGTGGAGAGCATGGCAGCTGTTACATGTATGCTTTCCAACTTAGAAACCCTTGAGGAGGCTTAAAAGTGACTCAGTAGGATTGGCAAAATGGCCCAGCAGGTAAAGGTGGTTGCCAACAAGGTGTATGAACCAAATTCAATCTCGAACCCACATGGTCGAAGGAGAGCTGACTCCCACATACGTACCACAGCCTTTGTGACCCCTTCATACAAATAAATTGAAAACTGAAGCAACCTGGTCGAGATGAGGTCACATAGTATGTGGGACTAGGTAGGGTTTGGAGGCTGGCCAGGCCAGCGGTACAGGACCATAGGTCTTAGGTGTCTACTGCAGTAGCTGCTGTTCTTGGGACCTCTGCCACCACTCCGTCCTGTCCCACGAAGGGGATGTGTGAGGTAATCTGTTGCAGTTGCAACAGGCCCATCCCTTTGGGGAATGAAATGACTTAGGCTGTGGAGAAAACGTTCCCTGTGTTTTCTGAATCTATTTGGGAGAGATGTAGAGCTCACTGTCTTCGCTTACTATTGCTGTGATGAAACACCATAACCAAAGTAACTCGAGCAGGAGAGAGTTTAGCTTACAGTTCATCATCAAAAGTAGGGAGGGCAGGAGCCTGGAGGCAGGAGTTGATGCAGAGGCCATGGAGGGGTGCTGCTTAATGGCTTAGCCTGCTTTCTAATAGAACTCAGGACTACCAGTCCTAGGATGGCACAACCAACAATGGACTGTGCCCTCTCTCATCAATCACTAAGAAAATGCCCTACAGTCATGCCTACAGCCTGCTCACAAGGAGGCATTTTCTTAATTGAAGTTCCCTCTTGAATGATTTCAGCTTCTGTCAAGTTGACATAAATAAAATGCCCAAATGACCTTGTCATGTGTGAAGATTCAGGTGCTTGGGGTTAGCAGGGTTGTTGTCTCTTGGACTCAGTTTGGGAATGAAGTCTCTTACTAACCTTACAACAACTCATCTAAACTAGGACAGGATGGCCCGAGGCTAGGCATACTCATAGTAGAGTCAAGAATGGGCTACCTGGGGCTAGGAGGCATTTGGCAAGGTAAGCCTGGAAAGGAAGAAAGTGGCAGGGCTTGCTGGAAGCTTGAGGCTTCGCCAAGCAGTAGAAAACAAAACAAAACAAAAAACCCAGGCAGTTCTACAGTCTGGGGGTGCCCTACAATCTGACATTTTCTTTTCTTTTTTTCTCCCCTCTCCCCCAACCCTGATGGTTTCTCTGTGTAGCTTTGGAGCCTATCCTGGAACTCAGATCTGCCTCTGCCTCCCAAGTGTTGGGATTAAAGGCGTGCGCCACCACCGCCTGCCTCAGTCTGACGTTTTTATTTACACCTGGGCAACCTGCTGTTCCTTGGCCATGACCTTATTTACAATCAGGAACAAGACAGTCTGCCTGCAAGAACATTTATGGGAACCAAGAATTGGACCCCTAGCCAGGCAGTGGTGTCACACATCTAGAGGCAGGTAGATCTCTGAGTTCAAGGCCAGCCTGATCTACAGAGTGAGTTCCAGGATAGCCACGACTACACAGAGAAACCCTGTCTGGGAGGATTTGGACCCCTGAGCTACAGTTGACTTCACAAGTTAGGACTTGTACCATCTGTTTCTGCCTGTAGGAGGAAAAGCATTGTGTATTCCTCAAGGCTTGCATCCCAGGGTAGAGGGTTGACATTTTGGTAGTTCCCAAACTGGGAGATGGTCAGGATGGGGAAGCCAGGATCCTGGAGGTTTGAATTGGTCGGAGGGACTGCTGAAGCAGGAAGGGCAGGGGGGGATGGCAGTCCTGCAGGGGACCTACTTGTGCAAATTCCCTGGGAATGAAGGTACATTTGAAGATGAAAATACCAGTGTGGTTGTCACCAAAGATTGTGACAGATTGAAATTCATCGGTTTGAACTTGGAAATCTGAACGCCTCCTGTAAAAGGTGAAAGGAGTGCTGGGTTCTTAGAGGATGGCATCCTGACCAGATAGTCATATCATGTTGATAATGGGACAGGGTGTGTCCAGAAACCTCTGGACCGAAGGTTGCTCCGTACTAATTCTCTGCTTGCATCTGCCAAGGATTAATGACTCAGCTTTTGAGGAACCCATCGTGGGACTTTGACCTTTACAATTGATGTCCCTGGGAGGAAATAGTGATAAGGAAGAACTTGAGCATGGAGACGCCTCAGCTCATGCTATCCTCCTTTCCCAGGAAAATGACTATGAGAGGTTCACCTTACAGAAGGGCCTGCAAATTGCTGCTACTTTCCATTTACAACAGACTGCTTCTTCCACCCTCCCTCTCTCCCTCCTTCCTCCCCTCCCTCCCCCTCTCTCTTTTTTGGTTTTTTCAAGACAGGGTTTCTCTGTATAGCAGCCCAAGCTGCCCTGGAACTTGCTTTGTGGACCAGGCTGGCCTAAAATACACAGAGATCTATCTGCCTCTGCCTCTGCCTCAGCCTCTGCCTCCTGAGTTCTGTAATTAAAGGTGTGTGCCACCATGATTGGCTCATTTCCTTTTCTAATTTTTTATGTTTATTTTTATTTTATGTGTCTGGGTGATTTGTGAGACCCTCTCTCTCTTTTTAACAAGGATAAAGGAAGGAGAAAGTTGGTTCACTGAAGAGGGCTGAGTAGACCTGCTGTGTGCTGGGCATACACACTCATTACTTATTCTTCCTGAGACACCTCCAGAACTGGACAGGTCCAGCCTTTCCAGCTCAGCCACCTGACTGCCTACACATGTACCAACAAACCACAGGAATCACATTGAATGTGATAAAGGTGTCTGTGGCCATGACAGTTACAGAGCAAGGCACATCAAGAGGGTCTTTTGTGACAGAGCAACACATCTTCACATACCCAGCATGGCATGGTTATAGAGGCTTGGCCCGCCCATCACAGCCACTTACTGGCCATATGGCCTCGTAAGGAGAGACGTTGCCATTTTGAATCCCCTGTAAGAGGTGACAACATGCTATCTGGAGGGCTCCTCTGGAGGCTAATGCAGCACAAAGGTGAAGTGCTGGTACGATGTAGTGTGGCCCTCCTCTGGGCTGACACCTGGTGCCTCTCAAATGTTCATACAATGCCCTCCCCCCAACCCCCATGTACACCAAATTTCAAAGCCATCCTCATAGAATACAGGGGTTTGGGGCTGAGATAGGCTCAGAGGTGTTTGCCTAACGTGCCGAAGACCTCGGTTCTGTTTCCAGGTTTATCAGCCGACTGCTTGTTCTGCAGATCTAGGGCAGGGCTTGGGATTCTGTGTTCCTGACGGCTCTCTTGCA